AGAACAAAAAACAGTATCAATTGGACTAGAGGTAAGTGGTAATGACTGTGACATTGTCAGCACCAGTGCATGAAACACAAATGGCTTGTTGCAAAACTCAGCTATATCAGTGGCATTTCTTGAAAAGTTGTAGGACCATTTTTTTGAATACACTAACAAGATTTTGGATTTCATTTTTGCAAGTGTTAATGCTAAAACACTCATAAACTTTTGCAACAGTTTTAGTAAATAACTCTCCATTGTTAATAAATTTAAAGAGTATATGCCCATTTCTACAATCAATGCTCGTTTCGGTAGCCAATGTAAAGTTAGCGATTATATATTTTTTTAAATTGCCAATAAGCATCATTTTTGTCTTGGGAGGCATGATACCTTTAAAATTATAAAGTTATATATAGGATAACTACATTAATATAAAAAAATATAAAAATGAGGTAAGTGAAAGTACAATAAAAGTTTTAAATACTAAATACTTTTGGTATATGCACAACAGTTGGGTTCAAAATTTGAACTATAAACACTTTCTATATGTTAACTTCTTTAATAATTTTTAATAAAATCTAAACATAAATATATAAACTTTTTTTAAATTGTACAACAATATAAAATATATATTATGAATTTTCTTTTGCACTATGTAAAAATATACAAAATATACCCATGTATGAAATCAAAATCAAAAATCTAATACAATTTAATCCTTATTTTTTTCACAGGTTTTAATACATAAAGGAAATGTTAACTTTATTTAAATAGCAACAAAAAATGTAAAGTTATATTAGATAATTTTTTTTTAAAGTAAACTTAAATTTCTTACAAGTAAATATAGCTAAAGCCCTAACTGGTTGTTACATACTATTAGATTAGTAAAACAAGGGTTGGTGAGAATTTCCTTCCATATCTAATAAATGGTAGGTCTAAAAAAAGGGTAATCATTTTTAAAAATTAATATAAAAATACCTCCATTGTACTAAGCACTTTTACTGAGTGAAACATTCTTGGAAATTCAAATATTGACGTACTTTGTAAGTTACTTTATGTTTTGTTATATTATTAGGAACTATAATAACTAATCATTATTTAACATTACAAATTAAGGTAAAAATATTTAAAAAAAAAATTTTAATCATGGATTTTTTTTATTTGAATAAATGTCCAGTTGCAAACTTTAATTTTTTAATTGTTGATGTAAAAGTTTGCAACTGCAATGCCTCTACCATCACTATTTACTCCTTTGCTACTACCACACATACAACCCTTACACCTACTTTCTTTTCTTATATTTCTTTCTGTACTTCTAGGATGGTTCCAGTAACCTCTTTTGCAATCATCTTTTTTATTTCGGTTCCAAGCACCCTTGTATGGAGATTTAACAGACCACCTAAAAGATGAACTGTCTTGCCCCCCACACCTGACCCAACTCTTAAAGGATTTATTAGAGTAAGGCCCAGGGTGCCTGGACCTGTACTTTTTGTAGTCGCTGTATGTTAAACCTAAAACAAACTAGCGATACATATTTTTAAAAAATATTTACTAAGAATTATGTAAAGGTAAAAATTTTAATTTTTACAACTACTATAGGTTTACAAAAGCAATTAAGTCCCATATACAGTAACAAGATTAAAACTACAGAAGCAAATAACAAATAACATAATCATATTTTTACTGGAATAAGAAGGCCTCACTATTGATAAAAGTATAATAACAAAATAATCAATATTTAATTTTTAAATCCGTTAGAGCAAATAATGGAACATAAATCACATGATGATAAAAATTACAAAAGAAACCATTAATATTAAGCTTACTTACTAATTAAAGTTTTTTTTTTCCCCTTCAATATATCTAAAAAGTAAAAGTATTGCGGTTAAACGTAATTAAAGCAAACATAGAAACATCTTCAAAGTTATAAGTTAAAACTTCAAAGTTATAAGTTAAAACCCGGTCGAGCCAATTTTTTTTCTAACTGAACTAGAGGTAATAAACATAATTCAAGTTAAAAAAAATTATCATTACATTATAATAATGTTTTCTAGTGATGCTTTTTAAAGTGAAGTATTTAAGTTAGATCAAGATAAAGTTCTGTGTAATAAAACAAAGTTTTAAGGACGAGGGATATAGGTAAATACTTTTTGACATAAATTTAATAGACTATATAAATTAAGTAAAGTTTTACTATATTATAGTAAAACTTTACTTACCCATTAGATCCAATCTTTTTTCTGAATGATCTACAGTAAATAAAAACAATACAAATTAAAAGAAATTAATTATCAGTACATCAAAATATTTTAATAATCGTTTATAATGACAGTTTTTGAATATGTTTTTTAATTAGATAAAGATGAAGTTCTACATAATGGCACATAAAGGCACTTAGGTTTTGACCTTTTTTATTTTCATTTTTTAAATTATCATAACAACACTTTTAAACTTGTGGTTACAGCACAAGCATGATAACATCAGAATCTGATGTCTGTTATAAGTTATGACACATCTGATTCAGATGTGTCATAACTTATAACAGACATCATAAACTCTTAAGAGTTACATTATGTAGATCTACAAACCAACTAACTAAAATCTTTTTTTTAACAATACAAAATGACAAATAATTCCTGATATAATATACTGACTAATTTTATGAAGTGCTTCATTATCTAAAAAATAAATTTTTTATGATTAAGTAATTTTTTATTATTAAATTTTATATAATTAAGTGATAAGAATAATATATTTTTTTTATATTATAAAAAAAATTGTTTATAAAAATATATTAATTAAACCTTTACGCTGTACTGTTTGATCAACAATGATTGGATAACTCATTATTATTTAAACTAAATCTAAATCAGATTAAATTGAACAGTTATCAAGATTATATTGCTAAATATTGTTAACGCAATCCCCCTCATCCGCCCACCGTTTAATTGTTAAAAAAGAAAAATTAGGTACCAAAAGTGCTGGTTAAAATAAGGTTTGCGCTAATTAAAATTAAGCAATGAAATTTGGCAGGTGCATAAAAAATATGTAAACTTAAAAATGAGAATAGGTAGGAAAATTTACTGAGCATTTTTTCAAGGTTTACTAAACGTCTAAAGTATTACCAAGTTTTGAATGTAAATAAACTCACTTATAAAGTTTGTCATTGTAATAAAAAGACATAGAAATAAAGTTTAATTACTTATATTAAAAAATATCTATGTTAATATAAAATTCTAAAAAATAAGGCTACAAAACACCATCATACCATGCTGTCTAAAATCTTAAGTCAAAAAACGGAGAACAGTTTTTTGGTATAAAACTTGGTACCGTAAAACGCGTATTTCTACGTACCTACTGCAGTAAGAAAAAAGTCTATGTAAAACACCTGGTGTATTTGCTGAGTGCACATATTGTAATGAATGCTATAACATAAGGCCGTAATACATGTTTATAAATACTGCACATGTCCTAAATAAAACAAAACCAAAGTAATTCTAAAGAAATCAAGCAAGTTTATAAATCCTCATAATCTAGTGTAAACCTGCCAGTGTTTGCAATAAACATGTAATTGATATATTGATTTTATGTTAAGTTTTATTCTAAGATGATTTAAACAATTTTTTATGCTAATTTTGAATTACTTTTTTTTCATTGAAATACTTTTTTTTTATTATAAATATTTGGCCTTCTACTTCAATTTCAATAAAAGTGGTTATTTGACAAAACAATCAATTGCTAAATTAAATGAAATCATTATTATTATCAAAGTAGAATCTAACAATCGGAAGAAAACATCCCATTCATCAATGATTTTTTGACATTTAGCATATTTTTCTGTTTTTCAATATATTTATTGGCATCTGATTCGAATGGGCTGCATTGTCAGTTTAAACAAGCTGAGATATAATACCTCTTAGAGGTAATGTAAAGCTTACAGTTCTTATTTTGCTAACCCGTCTCAATTGTTTCTGCCACTGGTTCCAACTGTATTTTATATTTTTAAATAAGCAATTTTTTAACAATGAGACAATAATAATGAATTTCCTAAAATATCTCTAAAATACCTAAATCTTGAGTTCACAATGGTTTGGATATTTTGGATAAAACCTGTTTAAAAACATAATACATCAGTTGTTCCATCATTATTGTATCTTTGTTCCAAATCCATAATACTTTTTTATTTTCTGTTCAAAAAGATAGCTAAATTTTGCTAAACAATTTGCAAGAATGATACAATCATCCAAATTTTTTGGTGCATATATACAAATTGCTTCTACATAAATATAATTTATTGTTGACTTTATTAAAGACAAGTACAATAACAACCCTGAGTAAAGACAATTTTGTATGATAAAATTTGTCTATTACTGGGAGGTTTCTAAAGAAGTTTATTAATTTTGATTTATTTGTTTACTAGTTTATTTACTAATAGTTTATTAGTTTGTTACTTCTAATTCCTATATTTTTCATTTTAATCAGTATCTAAATTCAGTTAACAAAATTAATAGCAAAGTATTTTCTAGCAAAGTAAATCAAAACAAATTTTTACACAAGATGAAACTTATTTTTATTTAAATGCAACTTTCATTTATTTTAATTCACAGTTCACAATTCACAATCAAAATTTAAATTGTATAAGTTTTAACAAAAAGTTGTATATGGATTTAAACTTATATTTGTTAAAATATAAGTTTAAATCCACTTTAAAAATATGATAAAAATAACAAATAGTATACTTTAAATATATAATATTCAGGAAGTTAAAAATTATCAATAAGTTAGTTTTAAGTAAGAATCATGGAATCCCACAAGTTACATTTTATTACTGGGATTCCCATTACTCTGGATTTTGTAATAAAAATGTGAAATTTACTTTTATTCTATAATTATACCTTTCACAGTGCAGTTCTATTTAAACAGTTTTAAAGTGTAAATAGTGATTTTTTCTTGTGAAAATTTTATTGAATAATCTTTCTCATTGAGAAAATAGAAAAATATAGTGAAGAAATATGGAGAAAGTGAGCAAAACATTGCAAAATAACGAAATATTGAAATGTTTCCCACATACGTTGCAGTGCAACTAACTTTAAAACATTAAGTAACAAATTACTTTGTTTAATAAATGAATAAATTTTATTTAAATCATTAAAAAGTGTTATATATAATATTTTAAAATTGTATAAACATTTTTTTCTTCCAAAAAATGGCAAAAAAAAAAAAGTCTTTTTAAAATAGTAATTTTTAATCATTTCTCTGATTAGTAAGTAAAGTTAAAAAAAAAAGGGTTTACACAATTTTTTATAAAAATTCAAACAAAAAAATAAAAAATAAAAATAAAATAAAGCAATTGTGCCATTGCTATGGAAAAATTTAATTGTTTATTTTTGTTACTAAACTTGGCCTTTGCAAAACAAGCTTTTTGTAACTTTATTAAAAAGCGTTTTATGTACTTAGTTTGAAAATTTTATATAATATAATGTAAGAAAGTAAAAAAATATCTTTTAAAAAAATAAAATATTTGTTTAAAAGATTTAAAAAAGTCGTAAGATAAGAGTATTACACATTTTTTACATTAACTAAAGACTTGCTTATAAGAAAATAAAGTTAATTTATATTCTTGTATAATTTATATAAAATGTTTCTACAAATGTTCTTAGCAACTAGTCGCAAAAAGTTTTGAACTTATTTAAAGTAAGTTAAAAAAAAATCTTTTAAAAAATATTTAGGAAGATATGGAAAAATAGTTTGTAACATTTAAATATAGCATAAAAAGTACATGCCTACATAAAAAAAAGTTATAAAGCATTTTTTGTTAATTAAAGCAAAATGCTTTTTTTTTTTTAATTATAAACAATCATTAAAATAAATTATTTATTTTATTTGAATAAAATCTATAGGAAAGATCAATGGTTAAGAGTTATGCTTAATGTAAAAATTTTTTTTTTTATTGCTTTTAAACATCTAAACAGCTGTGGTCAAATTATAAAGAAAAAAAATTATAAGTTACAGTATGCAATTGCACGCCACTCCTGTCAAAGCTTGTTGTCTAGTGCTTACTGTTAAATTTGGTGGAGGTAGTGTAATGATATGGGTTGTATGGCTTCAGAAGGACCAGGACAAATGTTTTGTGCGAAGGACATCTAAATTCAAAAAATATATATTTAAGTGTTAGAAGCGGGTTTTGATATTCTGTCAATAAAATATTTCCAAAAGAAGATTAATCTTCAATATTAATTCAGCAAAACAATTCTCCATGCTATACTGCACATCATACAAAAGGATAATTGTTAAAAAAAAGTCCAAATTTCAGAGTGGTCAGCGCAGTCTCTTGACGTCATCAACCCCATAGAAAATTTATGGGTAATGCCTAAAAGAAGGGCCACGATACATGAGGTCACTTCAAAAAATGTTTGATAAAAGTTATTGCTCTTGAGTGGGCAAAAATCACACAAGCAGATTGTGAAAAATTAGTTGGTAATATGAAGCAAAGAATTGTAGAGGTGATAAAGGCCAACAAAATATTATAATATTAATAAATTGTTTATAAAAGTAGAAGTGAGTTTAAATTTTGTCCACAACTGTATTTATTGATTGTTTCTAATTGATTTAATTATCAAAGCTCATTCTTAATTTTTTGTTTTTTAGACCAACACCACATATTTACTTGAATATTATCTTATCACTACTTATCAAGAGCTGAATATTATCAACCTTTGTAGCCATTGTTTTAATGCCATAAATCATGTTGTTCTTGCTAGGAGTGAAATTGATTCTCTTATCTCGACCCAGCATATCACTCTCCTGCTTTTAATACTTCATACGTTTCATCTTGTAATGCAATTCCTTAAACAATTTAATTTTAAAAATTTTATATTTTTCTTCTACTAACTCTATCATACAATCACAATATATTTAAAACAATATATGTAGCATTCTTATATTTATATTTCTTCGTTACTCTGCTTTGTGAAACTTTTTTTCTAATTTAAAAAGTTTAAAAATAGCTCCAAGCAAGAATGCAAGTATTTATTAAAAAAGAATTGTAATTAAAACTAAATGAGTTTGATTTTATTTTAAACTAAATGAGTTTGATTACATTTGAACTTATTGAGTTTATTTAAAAATAATTATGTCATAACTTACTTAAAAAATCTTCAATTACGAACTTTTTTCCCTTAACAACGCTCATGAAAACATAACAATGAATAAAATTTTTTTTCCTTTTTTTTATATTATTGCATAATTACATAATATTTGTTAAAGTGATTTTTTATTTTATATGCGCTATATGTTTTTTTCACTATTTTTGTTAAGTAAAATATGATTCAAACTAAAAAGTATTTTGCTGTTTAAAAAAAGTTTTTAACCAATTTTGCTTTTCAAAATTAAAAAAAATTATATATTTGCAAGGGCTTTATTTAATCCGTCTAAATTGATTTACACAGGTGTGAAGGCGGGTACTGAATATTCATCTCTACCAATACTGGATATTCATTTTCTGTATTTTTATTTTTCTGTAGGTTTATTTTAACAAATTTTGGTGTTTACCTCAATATTTATGAATGTCTAATTGAAATTGTAATGATGAAAGTCTAATTAAGAATCATTAAATATGGTATAATGCAAAAATCATATGTAATATCAATGAGCAAAGATTTTTTACTACAAGCTTTAATTATTTACATCAGCTAAACTTTAAAAAATCATTTATCGAGAGTTATTTGCATTTTATAATATCTTACCAATTTATTACATTTTTTTGTTTTTGTTTGCAAGTTTAATTTAATGCATAATTAAATAACTGTTAGGGGTGAAACTCCCAGTTTATTCCTGATCTCCCCTGCTGTGACTCATTTGATGTCTTACTTGAGTCATCTGCTATTTTAATCAGTAGTACAGTATTTTTAAATTTTTGAAAAAACTGAAGAAAAAAAGTATTAATGTCTGACTAAAATATGACTAACAAAAATAAATTATGAATAATAAAAAAAAGTGATATCGAGAAAATTAGGATTTTAATTTTCTATAAAAAGAATGATTTTCTATTAATCTTGCTTTATCTTCAGTCAAATTTAAATTAGTTGAATGTTTAAAATTTGTTTTTACAAGTAATTTAATTTACTAACGAAAAACAGAAGGTTCAACGTTTTTAATGATTCACCTACCCATTCACGTAATTCAAAATGCAACTTTTTTTTTTTTTAAACATCTTCGCTTCCAACAAGGCTGCAAGCAACCACTAATTAGTATTGGAAGTTACTGGAAGAGAAAAGATGAAGATTGTAGAGCAAGATAACCATTGACAGAAACTTAAAAGATTGCAAATTATATGAATCAGGAAAGCAAGATGAAGGAAGGGAATTCCAAAGAACTGATGTTTGAGGGAAAAAACTAGACGAATAAGAGTTTTTGGAGTACTTAGGAACAGTAACAGAAAAAGGATGAGACTTAATTGAATGACGAGTAACACAAAAATGAATTTTAGTAGATGGTACTTGAGGCGCTAGCTCTTTAGAGCAGTGCTCATTATAGTATTTGTAGAAAAGAGAAAGAGAAGCAACATTACGACGATGTGACAAAGGTTGAAGGTTGGCTGCAAAAGCAGGTCTAACTATGTTTACCATGCGTTTTTGCACCTTCTCTAAAAGAGAAAGGGTATCATTAGAAGATCCACCCCAGATATGGCAACAGAATCGAATCCAGAGTAAGAAAGTGTTGAGTTCGATAAAGAGATGCAACTTTACCAAATACTAATTTTGCAACTAATACGTTTAAAAAAGTTAGCATTTTGAGTTAAAGAAAAATTCAATTTTGAAACTCATTATAAATTTAAAAGAAAATGAGCTTCAAAATGCAACAACAACGTTTAAAAAAAACAGTGTAGTTGCACTTTGAAATATTTTAAATCATGTGCATGTCTTATTTAATTCAATTCAGCTTTTTTTTTAAATTACATTTAGTAAATTTATATAAATCACTGTAGTGTATTCATTTTTAAATGTAGTGTTTAGTTTACATACATTTTTGAACATAGTGTACTTTAATTGCTTTTTTAAAAGTTTTAATAATCACAAGAAATAAAATCTTCATTGTTCAAAATATGGTATTATTAATTAACACTTTTTTGTAAGTAATAAACTGTCTGGTAGCCCAACAAGTATTTTTTTCCAACAAGTATTTTTTTCAAAATTTAAGTCACTTTTTGAGAAAACAAGGTGTCTCATGTCGCTGGACAACCATGAGGTTCCATTTGTCGTATTTATTTTAATTATTTTATTTAGAATTTAAATAAAATGTTTGTTTTGTTTTTATTTTATTTTATTTAGTATTTAAATAAAACACGTCTTATCATTTTTATTTTGATTAATTCATTTAGAATTTAGATGAAATGTTTGTGTTGCTGTTTTTATTTCAATTATTTTATTCAGAATTTAAATAAATCGCTTGTTTTGTTGTTTTTATTTCAACTTGGCAAATTAAAATTAATTTTAAAGTCACACATGTCAGGCTAATAATGAGCATCAAGGTAGTGTTTTTTTTTCCACCTGCAAATGAAGCACCTGTTTCAACATTAATGGTTAAGTATTTGACAACTTAGATAGTAATAGGTACTAAAGTTGTAACTATGATATAAGTTTTACTGAAGAGGTATGTTTCCATTTTGAAGGGATAAGGATGGGAAGTATATGAAGTTTTATTTATTTTTTACTGTTTTTGCCTCCCCAAGGCTTACAGGAGGCTACTCATTATTGTTTTATTGCTGTTACAATTCTTTCTCTACCTTTTAACTCCAAAGCACAAGCCTTGTCGAACTAGACCAAAACAAATTGAGTGCAGAACTACTAGGAAAGTGGTGACAATCTACCTGGGAACTTCTTTCTTATGAAGGGAGCGCTTTACCTTTTATAATACATTATAAATCATATTGATTTGTATATGATGTTCTTTTTATATGTATCAGGCATAAAATTTTTTTAATTATTTTAAATTAGAAACAAGTTTTTATTGGGTAAGTTGATAATTAGCATTAAAAGTGTTTCTTATATATTTTTTCTATTAGGAGAATCAATCAATAGACCAAGACAAGACACTCACAGATGAAACTATGAACCCTTTTCTTTTAAAGTTGTTCAATTTTCTTGTGCAGAATCATAACTCAAGAGAAAGGGCTGTTAGATACAGATGCTGTCAACTTATTACAAAAATATTTACAAATATGGATGATGATGAAACTATTGGTATTATTTTAAATTAAAATAATATGTTTATAAATTTTTATGGTATATATATATATATATATATATATATATATATATATATATATATATATATATATATATATATATATATATATATATATATGTATGTATGTATGTTGGTTGCTCGTCGACGTTTTGAGTTATTTTTTATAAAATTTTTTGCATTCATCAAAGTTCTTGCATATTCTAGTCATTTTTCCTTATAAGGCTAAGTGTAAACTAAAAATAATTTGCGTAAATAAAAGAAATATTGTAAACTATTGATAACATTCACTTTTCTACACTCAGATAAAGCACATGTTGATATATACATCATTAGTTTTTTAACTTGATTTGAACGCTTATTTTATAAAAAATATAGGTGTTCTACAAATCAAAATCTCGACAAATATGAACTAACAATTTACAAATACTTTTAAAACTCTTTGCTTTTAATATGTTGTAATTTTTAAGATCTTGTTACAAGATCCTGAAAACTACTGACATTTTGAAAGTATTTTAAAATACCACATTGTAATTAAATTTAATTTTAAACCACATTAAAAATCATTTAAACTAATATAACAAAAGATAGAATCTAAATTCGGTATTTGAAAAAAATAATTCTTTGTAATTTATTTTTTAAAACAATCTAATACTTAAGATATTCTTTTGTTTATTTATCACAATTTATTTATTTGATTTTTTATGCATTTAATGTAATATTTTTAAAGATTATAAAGAATTTATAGATAGATTTTATGAGTTACCAATAAGATATTTACTAATGTAATTTATGTTCATAAATGTATTACATTAAAAGAACCTTACATGATATTGAATTAATAAAAAAAAAAAAAATTTAAATACATTTGTGAAAAGAATTCTCTTAAACAAAAACACTTCTCCCTTTTTATAAAAAAAAAAGTTTATAACTTGCTTTCGTATATTATAATCTATGATAGAGAGATTTATGTTTTACATAATGAATTGGTTAGCAGATGATAAGAAAAAATTGCCTAAATAAAAACTGCAAAACTCTTTTACATTCATTTGAAACTAAATTTTACATTCAACGTTTTACTAGTTTACATTCTTTCAAAACCAATTTTAAATTTTAAAAATCACATTTAATTTAAAGTCTTCTAATTAAAAAAAAAAAATTTATAAAATAATTTATTTCTTTAAAAAATTTGCATTTGCACATAATCTAGGTTAAATTAAATCTTTTTTATATAAATGTTTAAATTAAAAGTTAATTTAAATATTCCAAAATAGAAAAAGTTTTCAATTAAAGTAAAATTTGATGAATGCAAATCCTTACATAAAATGCGAGCTGCGCAACACTACTTAACAATTTTATTTTGACAAATTTATTTTTATTACTTTATTTCTTCTTTATTTATTCTCTACAATCCTTAAATGAAACTTGTAAAAAAAAATTTATTCGTCTAGTTTTTTTCTCCAACATCAGTCCTTTGGAATTTCCTTCTTTCATCTTTCTTTTCTGATTCATATAATTTGCTGTTTTTTAAGTTGTCTGTCAATCGTTATCTTGCTCTACAAACTTCATCTTTTCTCTTTCAGTAACTTCTAACTCTAATAGTGGTTGCTTGCAGCCTAGTAGAAAGTGAAGATTTTGAATATATATATATATGTATAAAATGCGGTAGTGGTGTAGTGGTAGAGCGCTCGCTTCATAAACGAGTGGTTCTGAGTTCGATCCCCACCACGTCCCTGGTAGTACCGCGCTTAACTCGCTTCTCCGCGCAGCAGCCTTATTCGTCAAGGTTCGTGTTTCGGAGTTATAGAGTTGAGAGAGGGTTATAACCACAAATAAGTAGCCTCCTCGTCTGTAGTGGCCTTCTCGGCCTTGAGGAGGTGAGTTAAAATAAAATATATATATATATATATATATATATATATATATATATATATATATATATATATATATATATATATATATATATATATATATATATATATATATATATATATATATATATATATAACGATCAATTAATAACAATGTGTTAGCAGCAAGTGGGTTCAATGAAAAGATTACTTTCCAAAAAAATCTCGCCCCACCAAAACCAAAATCAAGATCACGAAACATTATTTGGTTTAATCCTCCATTTTTGCAAAATGTAAAAACCAACGTTGCAAAAACTTTTCTAAATCTAATTGTAAAGCATTTTCCAAAAACACATAAGTTTTGCAAAATTTTTATTAGGAATAATTTAAAAGTCAGTTATAGCTGACTTCCAAACTTCACCAATATTATTAACTCACACAATAAAAAAGTATTATCTAATGTTTCCAACACAATTGTTCCAACGTGTAACTGCCTGCAACCTTCACAATGTCTTTTGCAAGGTACGTATCTTAGTAAAAATATAATTTATGTCTGCAATGTATAAACATCACCACAGGATAGTGGTTTAAATTATATTGGTTTAACAGAGCACACCTTTAAAGATCGCTGGTACAAGCATAAGAATTCCCTTCTATACGAAAGTAAAGCTAACGCCACAGAACTTTCTAAATATATCTGGGAAATGAAAAAAAAGGGATTTTCAAATCCTATTCTTACGTGGAAAATTATTGATAGGGCAGAACCTTTTAAACTCGGAAGAAAGTTATGTAACCTTTCTTTAATGGAAAAATACCATATCATTACATCATCTTTGAAACTATTAAATAAGCGAAATGAATAAATATCGAAATGTCGCCACGTAAACAAATTTGTTATCTGCAACTTTAACGTCATCTAAGCAAACACTGTATTGTATTTTTGTATATAATTTTTGTTGTTGTTATGGTTTGTAACGCCTGATGATCACATATAGCGTGAAACTCTGAGTTATGTTACAAATTTATTTTATTATTATTTTAATATAATATATATTTGCTCTACTTTTGTATTGAGCACTGTCTACCGAAATATTACTTATATTACTGGTATGTATATATATATATATATATATATATATATATATATATATATATATATATATATATATATATATATATATATATATATATATATATATATATATATACACATATATATTCATATATATATAAAATGTCAACTTTGCCTTGTTTTTAAAAGAAAATATAAAGCTGGAAAATATAAAAAAAAAAATTTTTTATTTTTTTGATATATTGCCTGGCCAAACCAAACCTTCAGTAGATAGTAGCGACACTTCCTTGTAGCAGTAGGCTATAATATAGTTGATTTTAAATTTCTGATTTGCGGTACGAATCAGAAATTTGAAATCAATAGTATTAAAAAATAAAAAATTAATAATAATAATAATACTATTAAAAAATAAAAAATTATTTTTATATACAATGACTTTCTTAGACAACAAAAGTCTCTTAAACTTTATATAAGAATCATTAGAGTTAATTCAATTAAAAAGATAAAAATTCTGTTGAAACGAAGAAGGCAAATGTTTTTGAAAACCTTTACAAAATAAAGTTTGTTTATTAATGCCTGTAGTGCATTAATATTATTAATATTATTAAAATATTATTAATATTATTAAAATGCCTTTTAATGAAGTAGCAAAATATTACTAATGAATTTATATTATAAAGTATTTATGAACTGTGTTTTTTCATATATATAATTATTTATTTTTTATTATAAATGTTAATCTTTAACATTTATAATGAAAAATAAATAATTTAAAAACAAAACAAAAAAAAATTAAGTACAAATGTTAAAACAAAGTATGAACGGTTTTTTGATGCGTAATCATTTACTAGTATGTATTTACATAAAAACTTATATTTTTAAATTAGTAAAAAAACACTATAATTAAAACTATAATTAAAGTATTTTTTAAACAATCTTTAGAAGTAAATTGTTCTTTTTATCTTAAGGTTTTTCTATAATATTATATAAATATTATTAAAGATAAAAGATTAAAAGTTTATTATTCCGAAATTAAAAACATGATTTGAATAAACTTAGCATTTTAGTTAGTTGAGTTAAATTTTTTGTTGTGTTTTAGCTTTAGTTAAATTTTTTTTTATCTTCTCTTTTGTTAAGATTTCTCTTCTTTTTAAGATAAAGTTTTTTTTTGGTAAGCCAATATAAGTTTTTTTAATGCATTTTAAAATTTTGAAAACATGTTATGAGCCGTGGTCAAATAGTCAAAACAAAAGATTATTTGTGTGGTCATATAATAGCGTGCGATTGCACACCTTCTTGTGAAACTGATATATTTATAGAGGATTCTAAAACCATGACATCATTTCCCATCATTTAAAAATTGATGCTTCACCAAACCATTTATATTAATTATGTTTTATCATTAATTCCATTATCGCATTTTACTTACATTAGTATTGTTGTTTTAGTAACTTTATGTATTTGATTAAAGCCTAATATTAGTATTGTATTTTATTGGGGGTTCTCAACAATTTAATCAAATATATATATATATATATATATATATATATATATATATATATATATATATATATATATATATATATATATATATATATATATATATATATATATATATATATATATATATATATATATATATATATATATATAAAAAAATGTATACAAAAGAATTTAAAAAAATACTCAGTGATAATCCAAGCGTTAGTAATATATCTAGAAAAAGCAGATATACCTGAAGAAAGTAAACTTGAAGTCTTATTTGTTTTATGTGGAGTAAAAGCCTTTACTGTAAATCAAGATGCAACTATATGAAGTTGCATCTTGATTTACAGTAAAGGCCTTTAAGACGAGGCAATAACAATTCTTGACCACAAATTTCAAAAGCGGTCAACATTAATCGTGATGCTTCACAAACTTTGATCAGCAACACGAGGTAGAATCAGTCGAAAACTTCATGACTAACCTCAAGCAGTTTGCCAGAAGTTGTCCAACACAGTCCTTTACTGCTGATCAACATAGAATTTTGTAAATATTTGATGTCTATATTACGAGCATTTAATCGCCTACTTTT